GGGGGGGGGGGGGGGTCCACTGCACTCCTCCTGTTGTGCAGTTGTGGAAATTGTCTCCACATCCTGTACGTTGTCTGCTTCAGAGTGCAGTTTCCAGAATGGATGCTGGTCACCATGGATCTAGGAGGCTCGTGCTCACATTCTCTCTCTCTCTCTCTGTGATACCCCCTTACAGGCAGGCACAGAAGCTGGCAAAAATTGATAGATGGCACCAGATTTTGTCAAGAATGCCCAACACAGGAAGCTCTTCCATTGCTTGCAGGGTTCCCTTTAAATTGGGCCATGTCCCTTCCCAGGAAAAGGTTGCCATAAGATTGAGGAATTGCAGTGAGACCTTACCACTTTTTCTCAATTTTCCTGTGTCCCTTTTGTACTGGAAGTTAGGCAAACCAAAAAGAAACTGATAAACTTGCATAGCCTGTATTGAGCCCTTTGCAAACCAATACTTAATATTTGGAAAATGAAAAAGAATAACCTTCTCCAGAATATCCATTTTCAATGGCCAGTTCAAAACAAATTATCCTCAAAAGATCTAGGTTGCCCACACTGGATAAAAATAAATAGAAAGGAGAGCATAGATTTATTTAACTGCAGCAAATTTTAATCTAGGCCCAGCCTGAGTTCCAGGGAGGAGCCAAAGCACTTTCATTTGTCATACAGTCCCCAGGTTAAGAACGCCCAGGTTACAGACAACCCATAGTTAAGAACGGAGCCTACTGTAGCAAAATTCGAGATAAATACACAATAATTTGAGTTAAATACACAATGGTTCAGGTTAATTACACAGTAATACTTATACAGTAATATACAATAATACTGTTCCAGCTTACGTACAAATTTGACTTAAGGATAGACCCTGGGAACAGAACTTGTTCTTAAACTGGGGACTACCTGTTTAATACCTTTGCAGGTTGAAGGTTGAAGGATGAAACCTGCATGTGGAGGTTTGGAAATCTCCCATAACAGTGTCTCACTCAACTGAGCTGGGCTGCAGAAGAATAGCAAGTTTACACAGACAGGCACGTGTATTTCCACAACATCCATCTCAGTAGACACAGCTGGCTGAAGAATCTTCACCAAGACAGAAAGCTTTCACCTTCTCAGCCCAATCATAGGTCATTTGGGCTATTGGAAAGCTCAGATGACTGGACATATTGTTAGAAACTAAATAAATAAATGAAGCAGAGGGAAAATGGCCCTTCTTGGGCAAAAGTTGCCAAGGTGGAGAAACGCTGCTCTGATCCAAACAGACCAGAGGACTTGAGCGAATGCAGGGAGGAAAAGTATTCTCTAGACAGGGAACTGGGAAATGCCCATTGAATGCCCTTTCAGAGGGAGTGGGCAATCCACAGAGGGAGACGTCCATTTCTGCCCTCCAGAAACAGGTGGTTGTAAGAGGCAACTCCAGATCTGCCAGAAGAGGGTCTCGCCTCTTCCATGTTCCAACCTTATTGGTGGGTTTTGCCCATTTGCCAGCTTCTGCTTAATGCACTTTAAGGGGACTGATCACACACTGGTCCTGCAGAGGACAAGAAAGGGCGATTTGGACATTGGCTACCCAACTAAAGAAACCCTCTCAGGGAAGGATGCTCTGCTCGTGCCAGGCCGCCTGCTCCTTCTGACAGCCGCATCAATTCTGTTTCTCTCTGTGACTAAGACGCTCGCTTGCATCTTAAGAGGAGGTCAATCAATGGATCCTGCTCAGGTAACCCTTTTATTCTGAGGTTAATTGCAACTCTTTAAAGGCAATCTATAAAGGGAGAGAGGCTTCCATTAATTTTAGGGCGGATGTAAACCGAAGGCTGGGGAAGGCATTCCTGTATCTTACCTCCCCCTTTGCCACATCGGAAGCAACCAAGATGCCCGGTGGTTGGACCATGAAACCAGAGCCAGTCACATTTTGTGTAGCTACTTCCTCTCTGAACAGGGGTGAAATGTCAAGGGGGGCAAGGAAACCCATCTTCACTCAGAAAAGCAATCCTCTATATGTTATTTGCAAAAATAGAAAGTGTGAACATAAGAAACTCCTAGTTGTCCTGCTGGATGACACCAAGGGATTCTCTAGTCTAATATTCTCTCCCCTTGAGACACATCACATTTAATAAGGACAAGTAAAAATGTAGCAGGTAGATTTGTACAACATATTAAGCTTGGCAAGTGCTTTCTTGCCTTTTTTTTTTTCCTCATTTTTGGTGATTTAGCATCTTGTGTTGACTCTGGTCTTGGACCAAGTTTATGGTTGACTGTTCTGTGTAATCCAGAAAATAACTTAATTCAGTAAGCAGGTTCAGGACTCCTAGTTGTCCTGCTGGATGACACCAAGGGATTCTCTAGTCTAATATTCTCTCCCCTTGAGACACATCACATTTAATAAGGACAAGTAAAAATGTAGCAGGTAGATTTGTACAACATATTAAGCTTGGCAAG